AACTCTGTCAAAACGGTGCACAATCCATCATATAAGGCCTACAAGAGTGTCAGCTCCATGTAGGGGTCAGTCAAGCATAGGTCAGGGTCAAGGTCAGGTCAACCCGGTAGGCACATATCCTCGAAAATCAAAACTGATATTCGCAGCCTGTGACACATGTTTTATGGGTAATTTGGGGCGTAGAACACGATGGTGACATTCATATTATCATATGTGTACGTGTTTGGCTAAAAAAGTTCAATTTAAGAAATGCATGTATCATGGTCGTGAAGTAGGGGAGAGCGGGGCCAGTTGAAATACGGGGTCAGATGAAACATGGCTTTATTTTCAACAATATCCAACATATGGCGTTGCCGACACCACTGCGCATCCGCGCTCGACCACTTCCTTTGTCAACGGCGTTTGGGCGGCAAACGGACGGTAATTTTGATTTGACACTTGTTTTTGTGTTTTTGAGAGGCGTTTGGGAGAAATCGTTTTTATGAATATTTTGTGATATCTCATATACCTTTGTTTGCTGAAAGAAAAACTCCTGGCTCCGGAATAACACCATATTTGTCCCTTCATTCAGCATGATGCCGTCCCTCCAGCTCGTTTGACATGTGCTTTACGGCGCGTGCGAGATGGCGGGAGCGGATGGGGTCAATTGAAACGCTTCTCTGAGCGTCAGTTGAAACAGGGCCACAGGCCGTTTCAATGGACCCCGGTGACCTTTGCAATGGTTAGTGTTCAGGGGCTGTAAACATTAAAGGAAATAGTCCACCTTTGAAATGAGCTTTTAAACTGAAATAGTAGTTTAATAGAGCTCAATTTTTGACCCCTTTTTCTCCAGCCTTTTGCTTGAAAGCACACTATAGCCTGAGATATTTCTCATTTTTCTCATCCGCCCATTTTACCATAGTCTATGTACTTTATGTCACCTATTATGAGGAACTTTGCACTTTTAGCTTTCCAATGACCTATTGAATGTAGCATTTGGAAAAGTAAACCGGACAAAATATCTCCTTAAGAAAGTGGCCTAAAAGAGGAAAACATCCCATTGTTAAGGATAGGTGCAATTGACCCCATGGGCTGGTTCAATTGACCCTCGCATCGGGGTCATTTGAAACGCGCGTAGAGCTGTTTTATAAGCATGCGTTTGGCAGCAAAATATGTTTGAAACATAATTTTACATACCTTAAAATAACGCCAAAAGAGCATATTTTTTCATGGCATTGTGCATTTTTCGATATGACAACTAGATCTCGCTGTGCATGTCATGATATAAAAAGTGGTTCAACTGGCCCCGCTCTCCCCTAGTCACGAGAAATTGCCAAGATTCAGTTCAAGATTTTGGAAAATGCGGAACGATAATCAATAATCGAAGATAGCCATTTGATTGTTCATGGTATTGGCAGTCTAATGGCGTTTAAGGCATGTCTGTATGTCTATTTTGTGATTTTATATGTTTTTTTTAACATATGCCGTTTTTAGTCGAAAAGTCACAAACCATGACGTCACTAAAACCTCGATATCTCGAAAATTTTCTGACCGATTTTTTTGAAACTTTGTCACAATAAACTTCAATCAATTCCCTACAGGTACCCAAAATTTGAGGCGCGCCGTTTTTATGCTATGGCCCGGCGAAAAAAGTGGGGGCGTTTAACGCCCCCCCCCCCAGCAACTCGCGGGTTAAAGCAGATGCCTCCAATGCCTCAGGGTCGGGTGATTGGGCTGGGCTGTCACTCTCGAACAAATTGCTGTGTCATAAAATCATTTTAGGCATCAGGCTGCAGTGGCTACCAAGGTGGTCGACATTCAGTGAAACACAAGGGATCCGGTGAAACACGCACTTAACATGTACACGTGCCATTTTTGGGTGACAATGGATGGTCAAATTTTCCTTTTCTGCGACTTCTTGAATCGTCCAATACCAAACTATAAGCACAAAAAGTAACAAGCTCGGCGGCGTGTTCACAAAACTCGTAAGTCTAAATGTGCCTCTTTTTGACCCTACCCTCACCGAATTTATCGATTGTCTTCATGTCGAGGCTGAGGGGGAGAGTTGTTGGACCACTACCCGTTTTACCCCGAACCTCTTCAGAAGAAGCATGCAACGTTAAAAACGCAGCGAGTGTAGGTATCTGATTTTCAGATGTCACTTCAACCGGTGCCGTCTGAGGTCCGGTCAAATGCCCCAAAGGTGGGGTTTCGTGTTTTGGCGAATGCCCTTGCCAAACATGATCGCAGAGCCTATATTTGGGCCAAATCGTGTTCGTCATGCGCTCAGACGGATCGAATAATGTACTATTTGTTCGGAAGAGGTTAATTTAGAGTGCTGACATCAGGTCAAGGTCAGGTCGGAGCCACTCAGGTCACGAAGCTGATCCAAGGAGGTCTTTTCTTCCAACCTTTTCGATTTGGTCGCCGTCTTCCCGAGTCCGTCGGTGGCTTCCCCGACTGACTCGCTAGCTCAAGTATTGACGGAAACCTCCGATGACCTTGGTGCTACCATCACGCCATGGAAGCCCTGTCACCAGAATAATCGCAGTCAACTTTATCAACACAGTCTTCGCCGACTGCGTTTCGAGGCCAATAATGCCAAAAAACTTGCAGTTTTTTACCCTTGACCTGACGTTGACTTGGCTGTGACCTCCTAAAGATTGTTTTGCTCCAAAGCGTTCGTCTTGTTGAAAGCGTTCGACTGCCGTTTTCCTCGTCTTTCTACGACCATTGGTTTGGAAGTTGGACAACCGGTGGGCGAAACTTGCCCACCCGAGCAGGGCGCATATGACTGAATACTGAATAGCCCAGCGGGGTGCGAATTAGCGCTCCGTTGAGGGGGCTGGAACGCCACCCTCCCCACCTTTTTATGTCAATATTTTCTGAAGCATTGCAGATATCGTCATCAAGCTATTGAGGACCAATCCGGGCGTCAATTTTACACCTTGAGGCCAAAAAGATTTTAAGGAGGTTTGATAGGTTGGCCACAAATGACATCAGAATGACGCCATGCTGTCATTTTAGACCCCAAAAAGTTTTGCGGGAAGAGCTGTTTCTGTTATGCCTGTTATGTTCGCAATAAACCTGGTGTCAAAATAGCCATTTTCACGACGGGCTATCTGGCGAATGCACAAAAATTGACTGACTAACCCGATCTCTGAGACAGAAAATACAGGGCGTCCCAAAAATAATGTCACACCTTTCCAGCGTCATTTGCATGAAAATAACAAGCATGAGATGTGCGCTTTTTCTTACATATGCATCCCACCTTCTCCCTGATACGGGTAAGCAATAAGCATGCTGTCCGAGACATCAGACATCAACATGTCCAGCTTCTGTGGACTGATCCTGGACCAGACAAATCGAACGTTCCTGGTCAGCGTGCATTCAGGTTGTCCTGGCACCATTTTGTTCACCTCTTGAAGGACGATCGCCCTAAGATTTTCGATCGGCGACAGGTCATGGCTATTCCCCGGCCATTTGTCCTCCCAGAATGCTGGGAAGTGCGACCTGGACCAGTCCTGTGTCGTTCTAGCTCGATGAGCCGCGGCGCCGACCTGTTGAAAGATGGCCCTGGACATGTTTAACAGAAGTTTTCGACTGGAGACGTGATTTGGTGGGGTTCAGCTTTATAGACAACCTCAGTTACCGATGGATTATCGACTTGGAGACTGGATGACTGTTGGCAGTCAGCCTCCTTGCCAGTTTCCTTGTGGATTGGCCCATCTTTAGCACCGCGCTTCGCGATGACGATTTGCGCTACCCGGCTGGCGGAAGTCTTCCTGCCGCGACCTAGCTTGTTCTCAGGCATCTATCCGCTTCTGTCGCGTGACAATCAGCGCCAAATCGTGCAGGAGCTCATGCCCAGTGCCTCGGTGACCTGGCTGTGGGTCATGCCGCCGGTAACCATGCCGACTGCCCCGCTACGGGACGAGTTGCTCTGCAGTTTTGCCATCCTGGACACCTGGTCCGCGCGTGCTGGGTACTGCCCCGGAAATGACCTCCGTACACCCCTTGACCGGTCAGGCTCGTAAAAATTCGAAGTCACGTGACTAGAATGTAGCAAATATGGTCGGGAAGCCAGTAGCGGTGAAATTATATTGATATTGCGCCATAGAAGGCAAAATAAAGGTTGTGGGAGGGTGTGACATTAATTTTGGGACACCCTGTATTGATATATTCACAATTCACATGAATTTATTTCAATGTTGTATTGAAAAATAATGTTTGATAACTAGATAAATAAGGGAGGGGACATATCAGTCATACAGCGACCCAAGCTGAAAACTACTGAGAATGAGTTATGGACCTAAATTGAACAAATCGTACCAAACGAATACCTAACTGATAACAGTGCGAAGACGCGTGTTATTATGTGCGTTTTTGAGCGTATTACAGAAAAGAGGCACCACCGAGATTCGAACTCGGGATCTCCTGTTTACTAGACAGGCGCTTTAACCAACTAAGCCATGGCGCCGCCGCACATACGGAGGAAATCGTAAATTGTTAATTTAATGCAGCAACTTCAGCAGCAAAAAATAAAACATTTTACAATTTTTCATATTATCCAAATACATCCATGCAAATCCATCTTCTGATCCCCATGACCTTGCATCCAAGTGGAAATCAGTCCTATATGCACTGGACAGCTAAATAGCAGCTTTCCTCTGACGTTGCGCGACATCTATCTCCGAAACATTGCTGCACTAGCGCCACCTGCCCAGCAGCTTGAGCTCCAGCCTCCATAAAGTAATCCACCTCAGATTCGACTTTTGAGCAAACTTGAGGTGACCCTGCAACGCAAAATCAGAATAAATCACAGCTCAATGTGTGCGCCCTTGGTAGATAAAAGAGTTAAAAAGGTTGGTAAAACGATTATTCCGTAGCAAGATCTCGCCGGACGGCTGCAGCGCTTGGCGGCCCGTCGCCCTCCCTCCAAACCCTCCCAATGGCCGTGCACATCTCATGACGTCACAGTCGATGACGTAGCACCTAGCGCGGCGCTGATTGGGCTGAACGCTCCAGAGTTGACTGGCGACTTCGTGAGGTGGAGGGTTACGACGCGAGCCGCTCTGTGTTTTCTACCGGCCTGTGGAGGTGCGATCGGTGAGGTTTATCAACGTGTGCGAGCATGGACGGCCATAGTCGATCTGGTGCGTTCAGAGAGGAAGGTGGACAAGAGAGTGGCGATCCATTCGATCGGATGCGACATTTTGGGAGCATGGGAAGAGGAGCAGACATGTTTTCGCCGTGGGGAGGATTCGCACACGGCAACACCGGCGATTCTTGGTCCATGGTAAGTTCCATGTCCTGCTACTTTTGTCCTACTTCAATTTCAGTTTAACTTGGTTTATGTGGTTTCTAGGTTTGGGGTGGGTTGGCGGTCATGACGTCCTTGAAATGCCCCTGTAAAATCGATAAATTCTATCGATCGTAGACCGTAGTCGATGCACGGGTTTTGGGTCATTTGCTGGCCTCTGCTGGTGCCAGAAAATGTTAAATAGTTAGCTAGAGCTCGTCTCACTGCCCACCCATCGCTGGTTGATGCCCCACCTCGTTTCAGTCTGATTCAGATGAGCTTATTTACTGAAAGCGACTTTTGCGACCGGTATTTTGATTTGTTTCGACAGTACTTCAGAGTGTCAAAATTTCACTCAATATACCCTGGTCAAAATTGGGCATGAAATTTACCTTTCTTTAATTTCACGGTCTTGTGGCAGTGGGTAACTCAATGAATATCGTCGATTTTGGTTGTCTGGCCTCATAGGTAACTGGTTTAGCATCATGGACACGAGTACGTTTGCCACGTGCATTTTATGTGGTCACGAAAAGCGATCAGCATATTTAGGGACCCCGCCCGTTTTCCCTTGCACCTGTCGGCAATCGAACGCGGTGTTTGGCCGCCGGTTGACCCCGTTTGCAGTTCGCCCAATTTTCGCCCGGCCGCGGGCGTTGGTCGGTGGCCGCCGGCCGGCGTGCCTGTGACGTAACAGTGTGACGTCACGTTCACACAGCCGCCGGTGTTGATTGGCACCGTGCCAGCACCTGTTCGGCCGGTGCACTGGGGTGACAGAGCTCACTGTTTGCCGGCCAAAACTACCAGCCGGAATTAATCTTGGTTTAATCGGTGTAATTGAAAGCATTCGGCCAAAATTCAGCCACGGAGCGTATTCTGGGACTGTGAAAATGTCCAGAAATTCCTTGGCTTTCCTGGTAAACACTTGCCCATTTCTATCAGGCATTGCCCGCTCTACGAAGCCTGTTGTGCCCTAATTTGAACAACTGTCTCCCAGCCGTGGGCACGCCAGTCGTCTGTACTCTCCTTTACGCCCAAGATTCTTTCGGCACGCCCACAACCACTGACCGGAGAGGCTAGACGGTTCGGCTTTGTGACCCGCCGGGCCGAGTAACGGTCTCCCGCCTCTGCCTCCGCGTGCCACGGGATAGAGGACAGAGGCCGATAGGTGTGGTCGGTGTGGGCGGTCTATCATCAGTGATCAGAGTTAGAAATTCACTTGGCTAGAGCCCAGACGGATTGTCTTATTTGCCGGCGCAGGAGTGAACCGTGCTGCCGTGCAGTGACAGCGACTGGTTCGGGTAGTGAGACGAGTCTCTATGCACCAGCTAACACAGACCGGGGCAAAGGTGCGACTATAATATAAATTCCTGTCAAAAAGCAATTCATCTGCTAGGCACTAGGATTGGTTTTAGGGTTGATTGCTAGCAATGGGCCGTTTCCCAGTCGTCCACTTCCCTGACTGATCAATTCATACTCCTGTTAGTACTTCGACCCATGAGTCTGACCTCTCTTTTTTCTCTGTCCACAGGATGATCCGATGGAGGGCATGGAGTCGATGCGGCCCCGACAGCGGCCCAAGTTCAGCAGTGCCACCACCATGATGGGCCCTCGCCCGTTCCGGAGGGAGCGACGAGCCTCGGCGGGCACACCGGACCAGGCAGCTGCCGCGGCGGAGAGCGGCGGTATGGGCCGGGAGCGCATCATTCCTATCCAGGTGGAGCGGGATGAGGCGGATTCGAGGGCTCCCCAGCAGCAGCAGGTCCCTCAGCAGGCTCAGCAGCCCGCTCAGCCTCAGCAGCAGGCCTCGCCCCGCCAGCAGCGGCCTTACGTCCGACGGGGCACCCTCGACACTCCCGTCTCGTCGCTGCAGACGGAGGAACTCCAGCGGGACGCTCGCGCCCGCAGCGCTCCGCCAGAAGCCGAGCCGGCCGCCGCCGCCGCGCGCGTGCCTCCGCTCAACGTACAGGCCGCCGCGGCGGCTGCCACGCCGCACAAGCCAAACTACTTCAACTCGTCGCCAAAGCCGTTCTCGGCTCAGCAGAAGCCGTTCCAGTCGCCGACGTTTGGGGCGCAGGGACAGATTCCCATTCCTGTGCAGGTGGAGAGGGGACGGGGGCAGCAGCAGCATCAGCAGCATCCTCACCAGCAGCAGCAACATCCCCAGCAGCAGCAGCAGCAGCCTCAGCCGCCAGAGCAGCCCAAGCAGCCTCCGCCACCTCCGCCCAAACCAAAGTCGCCTAAAGAGCGGGCTATGGAGGCGATCAGTGCCGTACAGGAGCGTGTGGCTGAGCTCGGGGCTGAAGTCGAGGCCTTCAACGGCCAGCGCGGAGAGAAACAGCATCTCTATCTCGACGAGATGCTGACCCGGGAGCTGCTGAAGCTGGATAATGTGGAAGCCAATGGGGATGAGGAGATCCGCACTACGCGCAAGCAGACCATCATGAGCATCCAGAAGTGTCTGGCGCAGTTGGAAGCGAAGGTGACTACGCCGGAGGAGGCGGCTGCCAAGGCGGCGGCGGCGGCGGCAGAGGAGGAAGAGGGCGTGGAGGAGGGAGAGGCTCCGATGGAGGCAGAGGAGCAGCCGGTAGAGGGCGGAGAGGGCGCCGCTGAAGTGGAGATGAAACCCGCCGAGGAGGCTCCGTCCGCGCCGCCGGCAGCTCAGGAAGGCGAGGCGATGGAGGCAGCCCCCGAGTCCGCGGCAGCCGAGCAGCCCGAGCCTGCCGCTCCCGCTCAGGAAAACGTCCCGTCCCCCGCTGCAGGCCCAGAGGGGGAATCCCCGGCCGCTGTGACTGAGGCTCCCCCAGCCGCGGCCCCTGAGGCGCCCGCTCCGGCCGCTGATAGCGCCTCTGTGACTCCGGCTGCCCCGGACGCGGCGGCGGCCCCGGCTTCTCCGGCCGCGCAGAGCTAGCCTCCGGACCGCGCTAGGGAAGCTCTGTTGTATGACCGGGCGCGGGCTGGCGCCGGTTCGTTGGACGCCGGCCAGGCGGCGTATTTTTAGCGTCCCGGCCCGCCCGACCGACCCACTGAGGTCGGTTAGACCGGCGGCGAGGGAGGGATTCCCAGGCTGGGCGCTGTCAGCCGCCCACCGAGCCAGCTAGGCCCGTGTGTGGGCCCACGTAGGCCCCGGGTGTGGGCCCATGTAGGCCCCGCGTGGGCCCGGCCAGTGATGTCACCACCGTCAGAGGGCTGCCGATGCCGGCGTACGGCGTTCGTCTGCACAAAAGCGGCTATCTGTGTCTGCACAGTTAACTGTTATCTGGCGGACGGATGCTGCAATTCTAGTCGCGGGGCGACTTTGGTGCCCGCATAACTCTTCACAGGCTGTTAGCATTGAAGAAGACTAAGGAATGTGTGACTAGGGATGCCGTGAAGACTAAGGGATGAATAACTAGAGATTTTGAGGACTAAGGAGTGAGTGAATAGGAGTGGTGTGGGAAAGAATGAATGTGCTTTTGTATGATGTGTTGGTTGCGGTATGCGACTTATAGCCAGTAGGTATGTTGTCTCATGAATCAGAGAATTGAGCGATGGAGCGACTGTCTCTGTAAAGCCTGTGTTTTGCGTTGGAAAATGGTTGTGTTGTCCGTTTCGAGTCCTGTTTATGGGCTGTGCCTAACACAGGCGGTGATACATGTCTGAATTCACCTCGATTTTCCTATGTTATCGCTATCATATCGTGTGATGTTGATAATACGAATAAATGCTTCGCTACTCAAGAGCTTTATAGTTTTATGGGTGAGATTTTGCACTGGGAAAATCGATAGCGTCATCAGTCATACCCGATTGAACATAAAAGTATAACTGTTTACAACAGCTTTTCTAAAATAGACCCTAGCACCTTCGTTCTGCGGAGTATGGAGAAGAATTGGGGCGGGCGTCCAAGCACAGACCACATTTGCTAGAACATTCCAGTTTACAGTTCACTGCAAATGATCGGACGAACCCGCTGACCGTTCAAGACAAAAATACATTTTCCCGACCGTTCCAAGCTGCGCTGGCGTGCACAGAAAGCTGACGTGCACGACTAAGTGTTCCATAAATAAAGAACCCGTTCTGTCTTCAGTCTAGTACCAGGGTATGAGTCACTATCCATCACGTGGCTACTACACCCGAGACCGGCTCTGAAGCGATCCCATCTGTCTGTCTGTCTGTCTGTCTGGCGATCAGCTGACTGGGTACATCGGGTAGAGCTGCCGTTTTTGGGGCGTCGTACCCCCCGCCCTGCCCCTGGTGCGATCCGTTCGGCAGTGTCTGACGGTCGCACTGCTCCCAGCACGCGACCAAGGCCGAACCAAACCACGCCGATCACATCATCCTGTGACGTCACGTTACGTCACAGAACGATGACATCACGGGTCGGCGTTGGCTTATTTGGAGGTCGAGGATACACAGCTGCCTAAAATAGCGTCATGTCAATTGAGGGGTGGGTGAAACGGGTGAAACTGCGATGAGATCATCGTTATACAATGTAACCAACGATCGCTTCTCACATGTCTGTGACTATCGTTTCGAGGAGAATGTCTGGTGGTACTGCTTTCTAAATCGATGTGAGCATCCAATGCAGCTCGTTTTGGTGATTTTCCTCCAAACAAGAGGCGTTGAGTGAATCTGTAGGCGCGGCCATCCCACACACAGCTCCTCTGCAGTCAGCATATTGCATGATTGATTATGCAATCGTTCCCGAAATTGGCCCGATACTCAGCAATGCTCCATAAATGTCCCACCTCTACCGACACTGTCGTGACTTTTGGCTGTAGTACTCTCAGCACAGCGGATATGTGCAATCTATGGACATTGTCGGGCCTTTTCTGGAAGAGACGGGGTGAGTGGCAGTCGCTGAGTCACGGAGCGGTCGAGTATGACTCACACTATGACTCAGAAGTCCTGTAAGATCTCCGGGCTATATTGGGCTAAACATACAAAACAGGGTATTCGTTAAAAAAACTACGATGTTCAGTCGAGTGGTAACGTACCAGAACAGCGTCGAAGGCCACATTAGTTCAACGCAAAGTCTAAACAAACGGCGCGGTCGGGGAAATATTCAGTACCTACCGGCTACCATGCACTGTGAAACCGCCGAACTCAAAGAATCGAGAATGAGTCCACATTACATGTAAACGAATGGCTTCAGAATCGAGGTTAAGCAAACGTTTACACAATACACAATGGTTTACAGAACCATTCAATCAAATGTCTCGAGGGTTACCTCGCATCTCAGATACCGTTTTCTACTAGCAATCAAATGTCAAGAGGAACAGAGACGTAAGCATCAACAAACTCGAGCCCAGTTCATAGGGTTTAGGTAGACGACAGAACGATAAGCTATGCACAACCCTACCCTACCACCTTTTCTGAGGTCTTCTCACACAATGAAATTTCACAATCACGTCGAAATAGATCGAATTACTCAAACCATTGTAAGGGCTAAAACTGTATTTTGTTGGCATGTCTGTGAATGCTCTGAATTCTCCAACGATCAAAACAAATGTACGATTTCACCTCAATGTCGAGCATTGAATCAAAGCAAACACGAACAACAGAACGCATGCTCTGTCTTCACCGGCACGAAATCTGCGCCGAATCTCTCTGGAAACGGTGCCAGCGGGCGGCACAACACGACCGGGGCGGGGGCGGGGGCGGGGGCGGCCGGAGTCGATAGCCACGGCGCTCCGGGTAATGACATCAGGACCGGGCGTCACAATCGGGCCAAAGTCAGCACCGCTAAACGTGGCGGGCAAAGGGAGAGGGAGAGGGAAAGGGAGGGAGAGAGGGAGGAGGAGGAGGAGGAGGAGGAGGAGGAGGAGGAGGAGGAGGAGGAGGAGGAGGAGGAGGAGGAGGAGGAGGAGGAGGAGGAGGAGGAGGAGGAGGAGGAGGAGGAGGAGGAGGAGGAGGAGGAGGAGGAGGAGGAGGAGGATGCTACAAGCTATGGACGCAATCGCTTCAAGACGGAGAGACTCTTCGCGAGTGCAAACTAGAACGGCGTAAAAAAAGGAAAATCCCGTTAGAATGCAAATAATTTAAGCTCTCGACTCACGAGGGTTCGGAAAAGTCATTAACACATCGGTTGTTACATAGAGTAGAAACCACATGGACGCAGCACTAAAACCTGGAGCAGCCGGGCCCTGTTCGTCCATAGGCCGTATCGATTGGGGCAGGGTACTTTGATGGTTGGGGCCAACGCTTTGGCTACTGGTGGGTAAAAAAGGTCCTTCATAATGCAAATCCAATGCATAAGAACTCGTTACCCACGCAACACGCAAGGTTCCTCCCAAAATACAATACATCTGTATTGGTAAACGTGAACAAGAACTACCAAAACGATCACTCTATTACAGCATCCTCGTATTGAAAACACATCTTTATCAATTCCCTAATAAAAGCACACATGGATGCTGGTCCCTATGGTAACACAGCTCAAACATTGGTCCCGATCTAAACTATAAACGTCTGCCATACGGCCATCGGGCAGGGCTATCAGAAACAAAGTTGTATCACATGTCGCCTCTATCCGGCTCGTTTGGGCGGGAGCGCCATCAGATCTGCTGAAAGTTGGCAGTTGCAGAGAAGAGTTGCAGAAAAGATAACTACCTCCCCCACCGATGGAAGAGTTCATTTTACCGGAGGCTGTCAGGACGGCTCAGCTTGGACCGCAGATTCCTGGCCTCCCCCATTGCCGGGAGAGTTCATTTTTGAGGTCACTGATTGGTCGATCAGGCCGCTACTTATTTGCGCTGCCTACCAAGAGGAAAGAAATCGGTTAAAAATTTCCTCTGAGGACTGAATATGATCGCATATTGCATTAACAACAGCTAGAAGCCAACGTTGTAATGAAACGAGCCAGTACATTAATGCCTACAAACCTAACATATTCTTTCTTCCTGGACTGACCTATGGCAAAAAAAAACTGACACAGAGGCTTTTAACACCGGATACTTCGACATGTCAACCGGTCTTCGTTTTGCAGGGTTAGGCACTTTCGGTATAGGAAGTCGATTCCCGGGGCGTGGGATATAGTATAAGGTACGAGGAAGACGATGGGTTGAGTATAGCACGGGATGGTACGTCAAAAGCTGAGCCCATCCCGTATATGGCACAAGGGCGGCACGCAGCCGCCTGTAACCCCAGCGAGGCACGCGTCTCCTAGAACTGCCATTCCCTCCTGCTGCCTTGGTCAATCGGGCCCGTCGGCCCACACAGGAAACCAAGGATGGTAATGGACATTGGGTAAGTCATGTGGATAAAGGAGTGAGGATGTTACGATCTCAAATAAGCGCCCAGTGCCCTGACTCACCAAGCCAGCTTTGCCGGCCATCTCCAGCGACAGTAACGCCACCTGGGACTGCAGCAGCGCCATCTTTTCTTCGGCGGAGCGCGACTGTAGCGCCATCTGCTCACGGTGAGCCGTCTCCTCAGACTGCGGGATAAAGCTCAATCAGTAAAACACGCGCCAAAGCGCGGGCTGAGGCGAATGCCTGCCGTGCCTGTCTAGCGAGGAGGACAGTTTTCTGTTACCTTATAGCTTTCATATCTTGTAATAAATACAAACATTTTCAGATATAATACCAAACACGATGTGTGGTACAAAATGGCAAAGGAAGACCAAACACTTGTGAAACGCTTTCGACAAAGTTACGTAGATCTATAATTCGATAGACATGTATGAATTTTCTATATTCTGTTTCCGCTGAAAGACAGATATGTATTCCCTTTCAGAGGCATCTACATAACCCAACCCCGCTTCACACAACACGATCAGTCGCACACCTGTCTGACCTGCGCGTGAGCGGCGTGCTCGTTCAGCTGCTGCTCCAGTCGTCCCTCCCACTGTCTGCACTGCTCCGCCAGAGCGGCCGTCTCCGCCTCGTCTCGGCTCTGCAGCTGTTCTCGCAGCTGTGCGGCCAGCTGGTGGGCAGCCGCCAGCTGCAGCTGCAGGCCACTGAGGTCGGCTGAGGCGGGCGGGGCGGTCGCAGAGGCGGCTCCAGGGGCTCCAGGAGCGGCGGTCGCAGAGGCGGCTGCAGGGGCGGCGGTGGGGGAGGTTCCTGAGACAGCGGCGGTGCCAGGACCAGAGGTAGGGGTAGATCCAGAGACAGCGGCGGCTTCAGGGGCGGCAGCCGGGGAGGCCTCAGGAGCCGCGGTGGCGGGGGAGGCGGCCAGTCTACCAGTCCTCGAACTGGTAGAGGCAGCGGTAGAGCTGTCTGGCGGCGCAGAGTCCGATCTATAAAAGGTAAACAGCGTGTCTTAGGTTAAAGCATTGTAATCGCGTCGCACATCAGTGATACAAAGTGAACGGAGTCAATGAGTGAAGCTACTTAAATGAATGAAAAGAAGCGAGTCAATGAAAGATGACTGCAGGCATGCCACAAGATATAGAGCACAGGATATTATAGAATAATGAAAAAAGAACGAGACACCAAACGGCAAACACAAATAAATTGTTATACATCTCTCACAGATGACTGAATGAAATCACAAGGCTAGAGTGAGCTGTTTATCTGAGTAAAACTACAAGCCAACCCCTTAAACAAGCGGCAGAGCCCTTGTTGGAGGGCCAGCCCAGTATCTCACCGCATTTGAGTGCCGACGGAGCGTCGGGAGGTCCTTCTCTTCTGCAGGAGTCTCTCCAGCTCAGCACTCCTGGAGCGTACCGCCTCCAGTTGCTCCTGACGACGGTCCAACTCCAGCTCTAGGGACTGGAGACGCAGGGGAAGAGTGGAGAGAGTCAGAGAGGGAGAGGTGGAGAGAGTGTGAGAGGCCTGAGGCGAGCGAGAGAGGGCGGCGAGAGTCGGGGGTGGGCAGCGGTAGGAGAGAGTAGGCAACTGGCTTGCTACATGTAATGTGGCGCATGCGACATCTCGTATGACGGTAGATAGCGCAAATGAGGTAAAATATTACAGACATTGCAACATCAAAACAGCGCACTGTGTTACAAAGTTACAGCATTTCTTAGCATATAATAAGGAGAATAAAACTTCTGAAAAGCAAGCACACAAAGTCGAAGCGTCAGGCCATGTCAAAAGCTCATCATAACACTTTTAGGCGCCCCCACCACAGCTGCCCTCACGGTAGACCGTTCCTCTGGAATATTTTCCCACTACCCGTATGCTGTACTGACAGACTGCCCCTAGTTCCCCGCAGTTATACCCTGACGCCCCTCAGCCGCCCGCCCCATCTGACCTTGACAGTGACCAGCAGATGCTGTGTGGCCAGCTGCTGCTGCTGCGCCGAGTCGGCCAGCCGGGCAGCTGCTGACTGGCTGAGAGTCAGCAGCTGCCGGCCATGGCGGCGGCGCAGCGCCGAACGCTCCTGTTCCAACGACCGCGACAGCTCCGACACCTGGCGGGCGGAGGGGGAAATAAAGGTGACGATAGCTGCACACAGGTGGGGTAAGTGGGTAAAGTCTGACAGCAAACAGAAGAGAATTTTGGCGATGTGTTGGACGCACAAAGCATGAGCGGAATGAGACGTTGTCCACTGTCTAACTGTAGTCGGTCACCATCTTTCCACTTCCCACATAATTCTCATTTTCAAACAGTCCGTTGCAGCTAGCAGTTCGACCAAAATCCTGCGCTCTTCAGAGCATGTCAAGTTGTCAACCCTACCGACCACCCCTGCCCGCCGTTTCGAGACGTGCTGGGACACTGTTTGGCCCTGATGGGGACCTGCATGCATATCCTTGTTCAGGCCAAAATCCATCCCCAACGGAACGACCTGAGAGACGTCGATGTGGTGGCAGCTCTGGCGGCCGTGGCTAGGTCCCTCCAGAGCCATGCGGCTTCTCTCGGCTCCGACCAGATGGAGAAAGTGGAGGGAGGGAGAAATAAATATCCAGCTGAGTGGAGGAAGGAGCAGCGATCGACAACCATCAAACCTCGTGGGGATAACCAACACCCCAAGCTCACCAGTCTCTGTCTGTCCAGCTGATGCTGCTGCCGGGTGTGAGTGAGCTCCTCCCTGAGCGCCGTCAGCTGACTGTCCCTGGCCGCCAGCTGACGGCTGTGCTCCCGACTGGCCTGCTGCAGCGTCCGCTCCGCCACCGCCACCTGGTGGATGATAGGGGAACTATTAGGTACTCGACCGGACACAGTTCAATGCAAGCGGAATGTGCCTTTCTGACTAGAGATCATCATTTGTTGACCACAAACCCGCTAAAACACATCGACCAGTGAACTGATGACACATGTGTGACCTAACAGCGACACCCAACGACGAGCAAGTATCCAGTGTGAAATATGCGACATGTTGACTGTTTAATGTTTGTGAGGATAATTTCGTCGTCACATTAGCTCAAAAATGCTTCTTGCCCCAGCCCCAGGCTAGTGACAGCCTGACATTTAGACCGGCTTGCTGCCGTAGCTCCTGGCGGTCCGTCCGTTCTCTTTTGGTCGCCCTCTCCCTTAGCTGGCCCATCTCACACCCACCAGTCCCATCCCTCTCACCACCAGTCCGCCCTTCTCACCTGCTCTCTCAGCTGGTCCGTCTCCAGCTGCCGCTCGCACTGCAGCTGCTCCAGCTCGGCGCGCAGCTGCTGCAGCTGCTGCCGGTGCAGCCGCCGCAGCCGGTCGGCTTCGTCCTCCAGCTGGCAGCTCAGCGCCCCGCTGACCGCGTCCAGCAGCTGACGGCGCTCGGCGGACGGGCCGGCCGCCGCTGACGTCATCGGAGGCAGAAACGCACACGTCATCAGAAGGCCCGAGGCATACGTAGCCGGTAACAGACGATACTGAGACGTCACAAACATGACGTGGAGGAAATCATAATTAGATGATTACAAATGTCAGTAGGGAAAGAACAGCGATGAATGGTCGTAAGTTGATAAGAAGTCGGTCAAAAAACGCTTGCAATCTTTGGGAGGCTCAGCAAGAGAATGTTGTACCGGTCTGGTTGAACTAAGTAAAACGGGGAAATTTGTTTACATCCACTTAACGTCTCTGGGGAACCCTAACTAGTACGCAAAGCACCAACTAACCACATTGCACAGGATCCTCCTAAAATCCGAACCCACTTTTCTGTTGACTTCACTTACCTTCCCCTTCCTCTCCCTCTGCCGTCGCTCCATCGTGCGCCGCTGGTGTCGCTGCGGTGGCCGACCGACCCGCCACCGTATGTTCCAGCAGATACCTCACACTGCCAGCCACAGGGCTGGGCCGGGAGACGGCGGACCACGCGGGGGTCTCCCATACAGACGGACCCACCGACCGACCCCCACCGTCAGTCCTCTGGGAGCCGGGACCGGGGGTCTCCCTAAACTCCCGGTCCCGAGGGGGCTCCCAGAAGGGAAGGGAAGGGTCGGGAGTCGGTCCGGTATGTGTGGTGTGTGGCTCCCAGCCGCGGGAGACCTGAGGTAGGTTCTCCGGGTGTCGGTTTCCTCGAGATGGGCGTGTCTCCTGGTCCCGGTGGGGCCTCTGGGACGCTTCCGGGTAGTGTGCCTCCTGTTGTGAGGTCTCCTGATAGCGCACTGCTTGCTCAGAGCTTCCCTGGTCCTGGTATATCACACCTTGCTGAGGAGTCTCCTGGTCCTGATAGCCAACGCCCTGGTGCGCGGTCTCTTGGTGCTTTATTTCCGCAGCCGCCCTCCCGGCTCGCTTCTCCTGACGCGTTCGTCGACTACCTCTTCCTTCTTTGTATTGCCTGGAGTCGCCTCCATCACCCCTCCCATCCAGCCGTCTATCTCCCGAGTCCCGGCGGCGCAGGGATGCCTCAGGTCGCTGTCTTGTACCCCGCACCACCGCCGCCCGCCGCCTTCTCGTGTCCCCCGCTGCGTCCAGGCGCTCCTCACTGCCTCTCTCCTCCTCTTGGCCTCTCTCCGTCCGATTGGTTGGCCCTCTCGCCTCTCGCTGCGCCTTCGCTCTGTCTTTTCCCACTCTCTCCTTCCGGCTGTCCGTCATTCCAACCACATCTACCTCTTGAGCTGCATCCACCGGGCCCCACTCCGGCATCGACCTGGATGAGATGGTGCTAACTCCACTAATACCCCCCTCCGACGAATGTCTCCGCCGCGCCGTCAGCCGCGCTGCGCCACTTTCGCCGCTGTCAGTGCCATCCCCACAGCTCTGCATGAGGTCTGACGAGGACGCGGCCGGTGGCGAGGTCGACCGTCGGCGACGGGGAGAGGGCGAGCGCCGGAGAGAGGGCGAGGGGCGCCGGAGAGCGGGAGAGCCCAGCGCAGAGACCATTGAGGTGGTGAGGTCGGCTGGTACGGGTCGCCGAGGCGGCCAGCGGCCCGCAAAGTCGCCGCCACCACGCTCCGTGGACGCTGAAAGAGATTAGACGAGTTAGATGGTAAGAGATGGTAGGGGAACCAGCACAGAACAAAGAATAGGGGTGAAAATAGAGTAGGGAATGAGAAGAGGCATGAGAAGGAGGACACATTGTGATAGGACAGGAAGATAGATAATAGAGAGCAAAACAGACAAATGTTCTGCAGGGTAGAATTATTGATGAGGGGGAGCCAACAGCATCTTAAAACACATTGTGACTCATCAAACATTAACAACTGGTCACAACATGAACAAATGAACATTGCTGTAAATTATTCCAGATATGTACCAGAGCCAAAACCTAAATAAAAACAAGGCAGGGCTGGACCCTGGTACGTGTCAAACTCAACATCTTGATTAGTTGACAGTCCCAGCACCAAAGCTCATCCATCATCTACCACAACCAGAACCACTTCTTATTCTCCTAATGCAGTGGCACTTTAATCCCACCCTGTCCCACACCACCTGCCTCTTTAGTCTTTACTCACCTATGGCCTCCTTGGTCAGCTCATCGGCCAGTCTCCGCCGCACCCTGGCTGACTCCTGCAGTGCCACCCTCAGACCTGGGGTCAGACCCGCTGCTGATGGCGTCGACACAGCCTTCAGGCCAGCAGCTGGGGTTGCCGTCAGAGGAGTTGATGTGGCCAGCTGACCGCCATATGATGACAGGTAATTGGATGACGTCATTCCCAGCCGGGCGCTGGATAGACCGGAATCTGAACGTGTCCGGGCCATAGTGTGCAGCAGTTCATAGACGTCCTTAATCGGTCTCAGTCTGTAAAAAGGGGGTCCAGTGACATGGTTCAGATTTGACATCCAACATTAAAAAGTTTGCAACAAAAGATAGGTTTATATACCTATTACCTATAAGGTTCAGGTGTGTCAGTACCACAGAAATATATATTCTGCAATGAATAACAGTTATCTTTCAGAATCTAATATAAGTAAGTATCTCCTAAAGCCCAAAATGGATTGCAAATTGCTATGACCCTTGACTATAACTCAAAGGATAAATTGCAGTTCAACTAAATGAAAAAGACCACCCACATCATTCACTGAAAAGTCTGACGTGACACAAAACAATAAAAAATACATTTGCTAAAGCGTCCCTGAAGCAACATTACAAGCACAACCCCCTATCATCTGTGTATTTCAATTTAGGGCCTTGCCATCAGCAACCAAAACATACAATATTTGTATTTACCGCGACACAAATTGCGCGCCTTTACCGCCGCGCGGGCGTATATTCGAATCCAGTATGAGTAGAGCATGGGTCCCGAAAAATTCTTCAGAAACTAGAGAAATTCTCGCGGGGCAAGACGACTGTCAAACTAGCAGCGAGCAGCGAGCAGCGAGTCCAGCAGCGAGAAACGGGCCATCCCGATTTAGCTGAAAATTTCCTCACAGAGCCTTCTCAGCACGCTGATTCCGAAAATCATGGTCTCTAGGGTGGGAATCTTTACCGTTCTCGAGATAGAACCCTCTAAAGTTTTCGACACCCATGACCGGGCCATCCCGATTTGTCTAAAAATTGGCTCACAGAGCCTTCTCAGCACGCTGATTCCGAAAATCATGGTCTGTAGGGTGGGAATCTTTACCGTTCTCGAGATAGAACCCTCTAAAGTTTTCGACACCCATGACCGGGCCATCCCGATTTGGCTAAAAATTGGGTCACAGAGCCTTCTCAGCACGCTGATTCCGAAAATCATGGTCTGTAGGGTGGGAATCTTTACCGTTCTCGAGATAGAACCCTCTAAAGTTTTCGGCACCAAAGACCGGGCCATCCCGATTTGACTGAAAATTGGCTCACAGAGCCTTCTCAGCACACTGATTCCGAAAATCATGGTCTGTCAAATCGACCGGGCCATCCCAGTGAAATCGGGATGGCCCGGTCATGGGTGGTAACCCAGCAAACATGCCGACGTCGGCCCGACGTCGGCCGACGTCGGGGTGACGTCGGCAACTCGGCATCGGCATGCCGACGTCGGCCCGACGTCGGTCCAACCTCGGCACGACGTCGGCTGGATGTCGGATATGCCCGCATGTTCCGACGTCCAGCCGAGGTCCAGCCGACGTCGGGCCGACGTCGGACCGAGATCAATTGCTGAGGTCCAGCCGACGTCGGGCCGACGTCGGGGCGACGTCGGACCGACATCGGCCGCTGTTTTGACCGTTAAAATAATATAAAATACATGTTTCATGTTTCATAAAGAGCTTCTGTATTCAAAATATCCTCAGGAAACTCAAATCATCCTCCACGCCGCAACCCCCTGATCCGGACTGGACGGGAAACTTTATCCCATTTGGGATTGCCTGTAAGCCGAGCTCGCCCGTAGCCGGGTGCGGTGAGTGCTTGGGGGCTGCTCGGCCTATCCTTTGGTCAGGCTCAGCCCCGGCAACTCACCAGGGCCGGGCCCAGTTCATATAGAAAGGCCAGTCAGCAAGTGTCACTTTGCCAAAGTGCCACTTATCAAAGGGACACTTTGGGAAACGTTGGTGCAGGTGTGTAAGAGTGGCTATATGAATCCATTGTGGGGTCGCCCTTTCCAATAAGTGTCACGTAACAGCAATGGGACCAGGGACTCTATATGAACTGGACCCAGGGTGCTCGCCAAGAAGACCAATGTCTCCATCCTATGATCCTTCCGGCTCTGAAATGGTCTTGTCAGACCGAAAGGGCATAACCCAACAAAACAAACCAATTTCGTCAGCTGGCTGCGTGGTGTAGTGGTTAGCGCACTAACCTCGCGTTAGAATGACACGCGGTTCGAATCCCACCGCCGGCTGATGCTTTTGGCGTGTTGTCCCAGTAAACATGCCGACGTCGGCGACTGGGGGCTCGAATCCCCCCGCCGGTTGATATTTTTGACGCGTTGTCCCAATAAACATGCCGACGTCGGCCCCGTCGGTCCAACGACAAACGATCTCGTCAACCTCGGCAAACGATATCGGCCCGACGTCGGCTCGACGTCGGCTGGACTTCGGCTGGACGTCGGAACATGCGGGCATATCCGACGTCCAGCTGATGTCGGGCCGAGGTTGAACCGACGTTGGGCCGACGTCGGGCCGAGCCTCGGCCCGACGTCGGGCCGACGTCGGCATGTTTACTGGGTAATAGCTTTAGAGGGTTCTATCTCGAGAACGGTAAAGATTCCCACCCTAGAGACCATGATTTTCGGAATCAGCGTGCTGAGAAGGCTCTGTGAGCAAATTTTCAGCCAAATCGGGATGGCCCGGTCATGGGTGGTAAGAACTTAAGAGGGTTCTATCTCGAGAACGGTTAAGATTTCCACCCTAGAAACCACGATTTTCGGAATCAGCGTGCTGAGAAGGCTCTGTGAGCCAATTTTCAGCCAAATCGGGATGGCCCGGTCATGGGTGTCGAAAATTTTAGAGGTTTCTATCTCGAGAACGGTTAACCCGGCACCGCCTGGGCTATTTCCGTACCCACGACAGCCTGGGGGGGGTCGGATCCAACCCCCCCCTGTTATCTCGAGAACCAATGGTCGTATCGAGCCCAGCGAGGCGGCGTTCGAAAGGTCTCTACGAGACCTTCCCAAAGCACTCTTAAGATTTTAAAATTGAGGTCAACTTTTGGGTCAAGGTCAGGTCAAAGGTCAAACTCAGGGGTTTTGCATGAATCGGCTTACGGACAGCGGAATCGATAGCTGCTGCTCGAAACTCACCAAAAATGACTTCAAAGGCCTAGTGAAGGTACCATGTGCGTATAGAGGTCATACTAAGTACAGGTCAAGGTCAGGTCAGGTCACGAAAGGTCGCGGTTTTCACTTTCTGCTACATGAGCGTGCGACACATGTTTTATGGCTTATTTTTCACGCCGAATCCCTTGGTAATGGGTATATGTGACCCCAACTCACTGTGCTGGTGATAAGTGTGCATTGAAAGCATAAAAAATCGTTTATACTATACATAACTAAACGAGGGCTAAGAAAAAAAGTCAATTTTTCAACTTTTTATTTTTGACATAAAAATGCATTTTTCTAGACGAGCTTTGTCCCAGGAATCTAGTGATGCTATTTGTTTTCACATGCGATGTTCAGAAGTGCCTCTAATTCACGAAAATGCTTATGACGTCACCATGCCCTATGCATGTTGGAGCTATTTTTTACAATTTGGGGGTCAAAAATCAAGATAGAAAGTTGAAATTTGGGGTATCTATTGTTCTAATAGAGCTCTACAACATATATTCCGGGTTTTTGGAAATTCCCAAAATTTTGGATTTTATTAGCTGTTTTCCAAAAAATATAGTTTTTTGAATTTTTAGGGGTGAAAAACGCATTTTATGGAAAATCCGAGATAGCCATTTTAAAGAACTCGTTGAGCTGCGTCTTTTCATGTCCTTAATTTGCAATTTGCTTCAAACCCTGATTTTTGGCAATTTTTTAAACATTTACCACTTTTTGACTAAAAATGCCATGTAGTTACATCACTAAAATCGATATATCTCAAAATTTTTTAGAAATTTTTTTCTTAAAAATTGCACAGGAGACGTCAAATTGATGGGGGAGAAGGTATGCTAAGTTTCAAGTAGATAGCGAAAGTGGTTCATGAGTTATTCAAGAAAAACGGAGGGGGGGGGGTCGGATCCGACCCCCCCCCCCAGGCGGTCGCGGGTTAAGATTCCAACCCTAGAGACCATGATTTTCGGAATCAGCGTGCTGAAAAGGCTCTGTGAGCCAATTTTTAGCCACATCGAGATGGCCCAGTCATGGGTCGTAAGAGCTTTAGAGGGTTCTATCTCGAGAACGGTAAAGATCCCCACCCTAGGGACCATGATATTCGGAATCAGCGTGCTGAGAAGGCTCTGTGAGCCAATTTTCAGCCAAATCGGGTGGCCCGGTCTTTGGTGTCGAAAACTTAAGAGGGTTCTATCTCGAGAACGGTAAAGATTCCCACCCTAGAGACCATGATTTTCGGAATCAGCGTGCTGAGAAGGCTCTGTGAGGAAATTTTCAGCTAAATCGGGATGGCCCGTTTCTAGCTGCTGGACTCGCTGCTCGCTGCTCGCTGCTAGTTTGACAGACGTCTTGCCCCGCGAGAATTTCTCTAGTTTCTGAAGAATTTTTCGGGACCCATGCTCTACTCATACTGGATTCGAATATACGCGCCGCGCGGGAATCATTTTTGTCTAGCGAGTAGACTTTGGGGACCATACTCAATTACGTCATAGGCCCTAAGAAATGAACTAGTTGAAAGATGTAATGGTTTCACAACGTAAAAGACACTACTTATTTCTTTTTCATGTATTTTACGTATATAATTATGAAATCGAGTCTATGTCAGATACATCAACTGCCACATGCACTTTGGGAAGGTTATCAAATGTTCTGGGCTTACATTCAAGGCATATTCCAGAAATCCGTATGCTTTTTTTATACAAAAGTACGACTTAGAAATTCATTCACTTATTGACAGCAATCACACAGCAATGCAATCGCCATTCATTACCTTCAAATAGCAACACGGCAGTGTCGGTTACTTAGTGGACGCCGTTTATTCCGAAATTTACGTCCCACGACTCGAATAAAACGCTCAAGACGGTTCCAACTTTGTATATTTGCTCTCTGAAACACTTTCAAATGCCTTGAGCCACAACATAACAATGGCCACTGAGAACAATAGCTATTGAACTGCTCCTTTAGCATGGTTTCCAGTCACTCCCAGCCTCATCACGTGGTTAACGGTGTAACCCGACCGAAACATTGGCAGACACTGCATCTCAATAACCTGCACTCAAAAGTCAAACACCGTTACACCACCCATCTCGAACACAAGCTGCATCCAAAAACGTCACACCGTTGACGTCCTGAGCGACGGTTCTGATCACTGTTCCGGTTGAAAGGGTCACGACAAACAGCCGTTATAAACACGACTTGTAAGCCTGGTGACCTCCCTGGATCACTTCCTGGCGCATACTGTCCCTAGCCGAGGCAGCATCGCTATCAAATGATGGCCCTCCTTCAGTGTATCACACCCAACACTGCTCCCGTAACGAAGGTGCGTTTGGAGACACTAGCAACGAATGACGTCACACCAGCGGACGAATGAGGGAGGGACATCACACCAAGAATGGGTGACGTTGGACCGATGGACAGTGACGTTACAAGGCAGTGAATGACGTCACATTAGCGGGAAGTGACGTTACAGCCTGGGCACGTCACGCCAGGTGAGGTCACCCTGGCCTGTAAGAATCTGTAAGAATCTTGACCCTGGCAGCAACTAACGTTACACATGTAACATCCCACCGACGAGTCCTTGACAACGACAACGAGTGTATCCACTGTCTTATCTCCCACAGTTTCTCTCCTCTACCCCCACTCCGCACGGCTAGCTCTTGCTCTCTGGCGGCTCCACCTTAACCTTGACCGTCCCGGTAGCGGAGCCGGAGGCGCGCCGGTGTTTGCCCCGCGATCCTCCCTCCCCGGAGGATTCGTTATCAGACGAGGCGCTGACAGAGTCACGGTGGGAGCGCTGGCGACGTCGGCGGCTCTTGGACGGACTGCCGCCCGCTCCCTGCGGGTAAACGGGGGGGGGGGGTGTCAGAAGGTGCATAGAAGGGTCGGGTCAAACTGCTGGTCGTATGAAAGATCGACAACACGGGATAATCACACTTCCCTTCAGCTAGCTGCGATATCAGGCTGATTAGCGTACATCAATTTTACTGAGCCTGACTGAATATATTACGTGGTTATTATTAATCAACATTGCATAATGATCAATTAAACAATGAAAACGAGAGATGTTCTAAATGTGTGTCGGGCATACACTAGCTAGCCAACACTCGTAAACCCCCATATGGGTCGCTGGACAAGCATGCAATCTGTCTCCATAAATTGTGTTTTATAAGCCGGTCCCTCCCAACAGGTCCTTCGAAGTCACCGTCACAGACTCACCCCCTCCTTGAAGGCCTTCATCAGCTGCTGGTGCTTGGCCTCCCACAGCATGTGCTGGCGCTGGGCGATCTCCGGGTAGCTGCCGGCACAGGGAGCATCGATACACGTCAGAAGGGCCATTGAAGACACGGCATTATGACATCTCTCAGTTATTAAATTCGGGGACGTGGCTTTTAGTCAAAAAATTGATACGTTCTAATATATATTCGTAAACTTAGGAAGCAAGTTGTTTTCGATGCAGATCTGGTTAAATGTAACAGCAGCATTTGTCCTGATTAAGTCTTTTCCAATGGATTCTAGTTTTCTTATCGCCTTCTTTTCTTGGATCGATACTCTACTGAAGATAGAATTCATGATAGCAAGTAAAAACACATTCCAAGTTACATACATTTTTTTCGGACCGGTTTCGATATACTCCCTATATCATCCTCAGCGAGACTATGTTGCGCAAGATACAATAGTTAGGACATTGCAACATGACAAAGACGTTAAATATTAGGTCACCATATTGGTAGATATAACAGTGCAAAATTATAGAATACCAGTGAAACAATTATACACTACAGATGACGAAATTCGATTCAAACTTTAAGTGACACAGCGACACAAAAATAACAATGGTACACGTGAAAGACGAAACATGGTGACTTTTGGAAAAGGATCACACAGAATCTAGCACTAGCTATTTTACACAAGTCTGGGGCCATCAAACAAACTAAGGTATACTTTAAATTTGTACTGGCGGTTGATGTCTGGGTTCCTGTGTCTGATGTAGGCTCCTTCTAGCGCACCCAGACGTCTCCGGTTGGTCGTTGAGCAGAGGATAGTGGTGCTCTCTTCTGTTTTTTAGTCAAGGGATCCGCGTGGTGTTCATCGTTATGCTGTTCTGGTGCTCCTTTGTATTTGTGTCCTTGTAGTCGGTGATCTAGAGTATCCACTGTTTTGCCGATGTAAGCGTTACCAGGCTGGAGTGCGCATCCCTCCTTGTTACATTTATACTGGTAAACAACATTGGTCTGTGACAGTGGAGCCTTGTCTCTTGTTAGGTTGTTGGTCATGACTAGTTAGGTTTGACTAGCATGACTAGCATGGACCGCATTTTGCGGCCCATGGCGGTTTGTTTATTTTGCGTCGGTGCGGATCACTGGACGTACCTGACATGGTCGTTTATTTCACATAAACGACCTCACCAGCCGTAAAATACAGGCAACGTAACTGGTCCTATGGCGTCAATAGTCATGTCGCATCTGTGACAACACTAATCATATCACGTAAGCACATAATCATAACACTGATTGATCCTACCTATGCCGTCCCCGATTTCGCCCACCTGCGCTCGTGCTGCGGGTCGGGTTTGAGCCTGAGTCGCCAGCCGCGGTCAGCCACCAGCTCGGCCACCTGCTGCAGCAGCTCTGTGACGTCATCATTGGGCAGCCGGGTGGCCTCTGCCAGCTCCGAGCGGCTCAGGAACGACTTCTGCGTGAACTGGTACAGCTGGGGAAAGGACAGACGATTCGAGTCATTTGTGGACAGAGCAGGTCACATACAAATTTCAAAGCACACGACAGAGCCCAAGCTTGGCGAAAAAAATAGTCCACAATATTTAGCAGTATTTCTCCCCTCCTCTCCCTCTTATCCACAACCTGAGTGCACTTGGGTCTGCGGCCACCGTTTCTTTTATCCGGATGTTACTGTTTTTGCCATATACATAAAGAGGTTTCTTGCTCGCGTTTATCAACCTCTCATTGGTGCGTCACACACCCGATGTGAATTACACCTAAGAGAGGCAAAAAATTAAGAAACACCAGGAACCCCGCATCATACTGATAAAAATAGAGATCGAACTGCACCCTAACACCCAAACTCCCTCGATGTCCGATAGCCGCCGTTCAAAGCTCACCATCCAGTCCCGTGCGCGTGCCAGCAGTTCCCCCGACACTCCGGTGCGCGGCGCCTGGCTGCCTTTGGGATATAGCACATCGCTCCTGACAACCCACAGACCGCGCACCAGCTGTGCGGTCTGCTGGAGCACGCGCGCCACGTCTGCCGCCGGCGTGGCGCGGGGCAGGAGGGGTAGCAGAGAGCTAAACTGGCTGATCTTCACTGTGGGTAACGGGAGACGGGGGTTAATACAACTTCGCCGCAGGAACGGGAGACAGTACCATGGCAATGCCACGTGTTCGTAAGTCCAAGAAGTAACAAAACGCAAAGTGACCGCCAACGTAACCAGCTCCACAAACATAGGAAAATCCTTGCATGGTGATCATAGACCAGCCAGTACAACCATTTGTCAAGATGAAACTACATAAGCGAAAACTACATCCCCACTCCCAAGTTACCACTATCCTCACAGCCTAACACATGCCCTTCCCTACTCACATCTGATCATCAGCGCCCGGATCTGGTCGGCCAGCGGCAGCGTCCGGAGAGCCCGGAGCGCCATCCGGAGCTCGTCCCGGCTCCCGGAGGAGGTGGCATCCTCCGGCTCCGGCTCCGGCAGCAGCCGGTGTCGGTAGGTGTTCAGGTCGACCGTGGCGGATAGAGAGAGGTCCTCGGTGCGCGTGCAGAGCAGCTTCTGCCACTCAGACTGTGTGGGAGAGAGAAAGGTAGACAAGAGGTTTACAGGCAATACGCTAAACGATATTCGGGCTATTTTAACCACAAGCCAGCAGGATTTTATCAGATATGAGACACGTCATCACAAAATGAGCAATTAATCTATTAAGGGAACTGCGTACAGTTTGCAAAGTTGTCACTAATTTGTTATAGATGTTAAATAATTGACTTGCAGTTGCGATAGGTAATTTGTTGATTTCTGCATAGCATGCGGAGACGACAACGGCTTCATATGCCACATCAGCCCCAGCATCCCAGCCAAGGACCCCAAACTGTCCGCCGTATTTGGTAGCTGCATCTCTCCTATTGACTTCCCACTATACACTCATCCGGCATCCCCCACTACCACTCTTCTCCTCATAAAAACTTAACCCTCCCTTCCTACAGATCCAGAACTAACCTCACTACTAGCGCTGTTGCGCTTATGAACGGTGGTCGGCAGCCAGGGCAACTCATCCTGCCGCTTCTTCAGGTAGTGGTAGGACTTTTCTCGCGCCTGTTTGGCTTTGTCCGACTCTGGTCGGGCGAATTTGACGGTGACACGCTCCTGGCTGGGCGCGTCCGGCTCGTCCTCGTCACCAGAGACGTCTGTGGAGGGGGTACAGAGACGGGTACAGTAAGGGGTACAGAAGGGCACGTATAACGAGATACAGACAGGTTTGGCAGTGGTACAGGGGTACGGACGGGTGCACACGGAGGAACAGACAGGAAATACCCACAGATGTAGATACACAGAGGGAAAATTGCAAAGGGTGCAAAAACTGCAAAAACTGAATTATAGAGTACACACAGGTAGATACAGGCATAGATGGGTAGAGACACGAAACACAGAGGTGCGTACAGAATGCGTAGGGGGCTCACCGAAACATCAACTCTCAAATTGCCAATCTTCACCATCAACTTCAAAACTCTACACTAAACGTAAGAATGAAACTGAAAAAGGCGAACAGAATGCATGGAATAATGTTCAGCTACAAACGAACAAGCAAACTGATGCCGATACGTTGAGTTTTGGCTTCCAGAACTCAGTGGCCATAAGCGCCCAACATCACTGATCACACTACAACCCTATCTCAGTTTCCCGTATCCCATCCTCACCTTCTCCTAGTTCCCTGGCCTCCTGTCGTCCCTTCTTATCTCCCCGGTCCAGGTAGTCAAAGCTGGGTCGGAGCGCCACTACTGCGTCCACTGGAGAGAGGTGTAGCTCTCCATCTGATACAACGCCGACACAGTAGCGGCGCGAGCTGGGCGTGACGAGAGTGGAGCGCAGCTTCTGTCGGTCCATCACGGAGCTGTGAGAGGGCAGAGGGGAGGGTAAGAGAGAGTGTAGCCCGGTTTCCATGGGCACCTGTGATCCGGATCAGCAAAAGTGGATTAGCTAATCTATAATAGTACATATATGAAAATTAGAATAAGGGATTAACTGATTATACCAGTATAACGCCTTTTGGGGCGACCAACGGAGCGAGCGAGAGGGTGGGCCTTGCACGTGTGATATTGCGAGGGGTACCCCCAAATGACTTGTGCACGGCACCCTACTAACCGGTCTCTAGCGATGCGCCAAATTTGAGCACAATCGGCTCAGCCGTTCTCGAGATTTGGGAGCGGCGCCCTGCACGTGCGCACGTGCAAAATGAGTCCCAACTGACTTGTGCACGGCACCCTACTAACTGGTCCCTAACCGTGTACCAAATTTGAGCGCAATCGGTCCAGCCGTTCTCGAGATCTGGAATTGACCCCTGCACGTGCGCACGTGCAGCAGCACCCCAACTCTGGCACATGGATATGTATGGCCTAGTGGGTGCCTACCTACATGCCAACTTTCAGCGCAATCGGCCCAGTAGTTACCGAGATATTGCAACTATTACAAAAGTGACACCTCTTCGTTTTGCACGTGGCACGTGCATAAGGGGTCACCCACATGCATCGGGAATAGTCCAATACTTGGTAGAAGGAATGAAGCTACCCTACAAAAATTACCGCATGTAAATCGGTCAAGTGGTTGCTGAGATATAAGCGTCGCAGAATCGTGACCACGGCCGGCCGGCCGGCCGCTCATACTCAGAAATTTCCGTTATTCTACGTAAGACTCCGCTCGCTTCGCTCGCTCCGTAATAAGCCTAATCCGCTCTGAATCATAACCTGTAACGAAGAGTTCGAGGAATATTTTACGATATAAATTTGCTGATCCGGGTCACGAGTGCCAATGGAAACGCGGTCAGAGAGAGAGAGAGAGAGAGGGGGGAGAGGAGGGAGAGAGAGAGAGAGAGAGAGAGAGGAGAGAGAGAGAGAGAGAGAGAGAGAGAGAGAGAGAGAGAGAGAGAGAGAGAGAGAGAGAGAGAGAGAGAGAGAGAGAGAGAGAGAGAGAGAGAGAGAGAGATGACAATGCCATTGATAGCGTGACTGGCGTGACTAGCGTGACTTCGATGCCGGATCAGACCAAAGACGGGCGCGGGCGTTTGAGGGTGACGACCTAGAGACACAAGACCCATATGTCATTTCGAGATCTGATAAAGGCCAGAGCAGAGCAAGGTCAATGCCAAAAGTTGAGCTGTTACAAAACCTGTAACATGCCCAGTCACAGCATAGGCGCGGGAACCGGGGGGGGGGGGGGCAGTGGGGGCAGCTTGCCCTCCCCCACTCTGGGGCCGTGGGGGCGGTGCCCCCACAACTTTAAGACGGAATATCGCATTTTTTTGCAAATGTTTTTTGTTGTTGTTAAAAAGCCAAGGGATGATAAATACGTGGCCTAAAACCGGTGAGAAAACTAGATTTGGGGGTACCCTAGGTTGATCTCTATTATGGTGTGCCCCCCCCCCCAGTCTGAAAGTACATAGTTCCCGCGCCTATGGTCCACAGCCATCAACTCCTACCATCTCTTTGCAGCCAGGTGAATACGCGGTACAACTGCATGTGTTGTAAGGAAGCATCTACCCTCCCATGTAAAAAACAAACAAACAACAGTTGTTCTTTGTTGTGGTTTTGTTAGTAGACCAGTCAGTTAGTTAGGGACTACCGGACTACATGGGAGCGCATTTATAGCGCATTCGTAATGCGTCCTATAATCTAGACAAACAATTCACCTTCGCTAACTATACATACATCATCTCTTACTACCTATACGTAAACAGTGTCCTGATGAGCGGTTATTTCGCCGTTACTTCAGAAACAAAATGGAACAGGTTGAGGATTTCTGTTGCGGTAGAGCCTCCATGCAGTCAGTCGCCTACACTCCAGCATGCCACTCATCAGGTTGTCTTTAGTCTCGGCCCTGGTCCGTGGACACGCCACTCGGACGTTCTGGATGAAGGTCTTGGCCCTTGGGTGAGGTCGCCGGCGTCATCTTGTTCAGCTCCTCTTTGACGATCGCCTAGAGATTATCAATTGGCGAGGGGTCGGGTTTGTACGTGCCCTTCTCCCAGAAGCCAGGGAGTTTGCACGCGGCATTTGTCTTCCTGGTGTGATGAACTGGAGCGCCGTTCTGTTGGAACATCGCCCTGGACATCCCTAGATGAAAGACATTCATGGCACAGACCTTGGTCGGTGGGCTGGAGGACATCCATGGATGAAGGGCATTCATGGCACAGACCTTGGTCAATTGTCCATTTTCCTCCCTCCGCTGCATCACCGAGGCTGCAGTCTTCATCACCACTTCGACAGTAGTCGGCCGTGACGGTTTGGCCGGGGGGATGGTGTGCAGGTCAGAGAGGCCTCCGTAGTTCATCATGCCCCAGGCGAGGATCTTCAGGGGCTGCTTCACTGTCTCAGCCAGCCAGCATCCCAAACTTTGTTGACTTAGATGGGAAACGACATCCAAATGAAAACAATTCTCCACTATCACCTCCATTTTTAAATACATTTTTTCACTCCTGGTTTTACTGAAACAATTGCACGGATGGTCTTTTTCATCCCACAATCTACCGCACTTGTAGGTATATAAAATCCTACTTTTGGCCGTTTTCCACCTTTCATGGGCCCTGCCTAACTCGCAATTTTTACTCTCATGTTCTCTTGGGTAAATCATTTTCCCTCTGACACCCATGTAAAAATACATTTTTGGGACACTCTGCAGGCGGCACCTGCAAACTGCTGCGGACCAGACGCGGTCGTTCTGGAGGTTAGATATTTGGGAAATCCCGGAGGGTGACACGTCACTAAAGAAGTACGCTTCCAATCTTGGACAGATCAGTGCTTGCGGGCTTTGACGAGTTCCAGCCAGCTGCCCTTCTGATCTTCGGTCAGCCTGGGCTGCAGCTTGAGCTTGAGCTGCGTCAGTTGGAGGCAGGTCTTCAATAGCAGTGGATGGCCCACTTGGAGGCCGGGCGCTTCTTCGTCGCCAGTTTCTCAGCCAGGGTTCTCGTGGTTTGGTGTCTTTTGAAAGCCAACTTCGCCACGGCAATCGTGTCCGCTCGGCTCATACCTGATTTCTGCCCTCGATCTGGCGATTTTCCAGCGTCTCTCCTTGGCGACCATGGGTCTGCCAGCGTCTGACCGCAGGTACGCCGACGCACATGTCTATGGAAAACTTCCCCTAGGTCATACCGCCCTCAATCATCCCAACTGCGTGGTGTCGGGTCGATAGCGTGAGCCTCTTCACGTTCGGTGATATGCGGTCAAGACCCGTAGGATGCTTTGAGAGGAATGACCTCCCCAATCCCCATCCACCAAGCCAAGGTACCGACCGAGGTAAGGGATCATGCCATCACGTAACACAGTCAGATGTCCTGGGGCAGGACCCCGGTAAATTTTACTTTGCCCGGCGGTCGCAGTCGAGGAAACGACCGCTGGCACCAGCCGCTCGATCTCGGGACACACTGTACCAAGACTGGTTACTACCCCTGTACAGCTCCAACCGTCAGCGGCGATCGAACCTTGGGTACTTTGAAAACCAACACCGCGATAAAAAAGTTTTGCCCTCCAAGCATCATAAGCGTCCACCAGAAATTCAAAGTTATATTTCCAATATTACACAAGAGTAATACAAAACATATCAGCCTACAATTTACAGAGAGCATATTGCGCGAAGAAGATCAACCATGACCAAAGCACTCTTTAAACACGCAGCAGGTCAGCCTCTGCCAAACCGGCGCAAAACCATAGAAAAATGAAATTAAAAAGAGTACCAGAAAAGCGGTCTCAAGCGCTGCAGCATCTACAGGAATTAGATACTGCAATACCTAGAAGACCCGGACACTCTAGCAACGGCGTTATGCAGCCTAAGGCCCTTCAGCACTTGGCCTCAGGCGCTGCAGTAGTTGGTCTCAGGCCGTGCAGTACTGGGCGTCAGCCGTGTTCGACTGAATCCAAGTCAGCGCCTCGGTGACGCGGGCGAACACGTCGGGCCAGTTGGCCACGGCGCACGGCCGGCCGAACGAGACGACGCCGATCAGACGGAACCGTCCCGAGACCTCGGTCACCAGCGGGCCGCCGCTGTCGCCCATGCAGACCGACCTGCCGCCCTCTGCGTAGCCACCGGCGCAGATCATGTTGCTCTTGAGCGTGGTGCCCCAGACACCCTGGCAGCGGCTCTGGCTCCAGACGGGCAGCTGAACATGCTGTAGCGTGGTGGCCTGAGGTTCTTCGGCGCCCACACGGCCGTAGCCGCTGGCGATGGCCGTGACGTCGGCGTACGTCTGGCCGGCCTCGGCCAGGCAGACGGGCGAGATGGTGTTGCTGAAGGTGATCTCGCGGTCCAACTTCAGCAGCGAGAAGTCCCAGCCGCTGCCCGAGGCGCTCGTGTACTGCGGGTGGTTGATGATCTGCTGGACCGAGAAGCGCTGCTCGCCGGTGTCGGTAGTGCCAATGCGCAGGTCGCCCAGCATCACCTGGATCTGGCTGGCGTCTTTGCCGTCGGTGCAGTGGGCCGCCGTCAGCACGTAGCGGTTGTTGATGACGCTGCCGCCGCACCAGGAGCGGGTGTTGCCGGTGCTGACGATGCCGGCCTGCCACGGGAACTGGCCGGCGGTGGCGTCCGTGCCGCCCACCACGCGGGTCTGACGGACGCCGCACTGGCAGTCGGTGCTGGGGCTCGGGGTCGTCTGAGTGCCAGGCTCGGGCACCACGATGCGACAGTAGAAGCCCTTGTCAGTCACCGAGTAGTCTGTGTGGAAGTCGATGGTCAGCAACGTGCCTTTGATGGAAGGCACCGTTCTAGTGCCACAAAACTTCTGGCCGTTGATGGACAGATAGTCCCAATAGCAGCTGCTGTGGGACTCGAGTTGGAACGGGTCACAGCTGATGCTGATCTCCTGGCCAGAACTGCCCCTTACTTTCAGACTTTCGTCGTAGTTGTTTGGGTAGTTGGCATTGTTCTGATAGCCGGGAGAATAATAGGGGTGTGTGCCGGGCTCCAGTGTCCTTTCAGTCGCGGCGCGACCATAGTCGGGTTTCCGAGGCAGCGGCTGGGGGTCATCGTTCTTCACACCGTTTTCATCAAACGGTACAGCGGTAATAGTCGTGTCATCGAAGTCAACCGGCTTGGGTTCCTTCCCCGCTGACTTGGCCTGTGGCTTGGCCAGCGCGGCGGTGGCCAGCAGGCAGCAGCAGGCGATCTGCAGGCGGAGCATGGTGCCGAGTGCTGGGAGCTGAGGTGCCGAGGTACCGGCGCCGCGGGCTCTTATACCGGTCCTTTGGTGCGCAAGTGTGCTCACCATGCAGTTGATGCCGTGACGCGGGGCGTGACGCTGCAGTCTGTCACAGACAAAAGTCGGCCACTGTCCCCATGCATCATGTCACAGGGCTGCTTCCCGTCTGGCTGCCACCGTCACCCGGCTGTGGGCCATCAATAAGCACCATCTATCTCTGTAGACGCTCCTCGTGCAAGGTGCCGTCGTGTCGAAACACCCACCACTGTGACTCTAACACTGGCGGATTCTGGAGGACATTTGAAGGATTTGTGCATCACACAGCGGTGCAAAATTAATAAAATGTCTTTGCATTCTCACATAAAAAGAAAACGTGACTTTCTTCCTAGTGATGGTGCCGGGGGTGGAGGGGGACTTTTGCGTGGATTGAGGAAACTGTGTAGTGCGGAGCGCATTGCCACGATACTCGGCATAGCTTACAACACTTCAATTTTGCACCCCATGTTGAAATTTGGACCACAGTCCACAGGTTATTCAAGGTCAGGGAGATGATGACAAAAGGTAGATGCTGCTTTTCCGTAAGAACTTAACTCACACGAAGAACTTTTTTTGGTTCATGATCATGCCAATTTTTATCTATTCATGTTTTGGGTCATGATCAATAAAGCCACCAGTTTTAACCCGCGACCTGGTGGGGGGGGGGGGCTTTTTTTTGCCCCCCCCCCCCCTCCAGACTTTTCAATATATCTCCAGAACCGATGCGCCGATCGTCACCAAACTTTCAGTACCCTCCCGGACATCAATTTTACACATTGTGACCAAAAATTTTTCCAAAAAGCTATGATAGGTTGGCCGGAAATGACGTCAGAGTGACGTCATGTTCTGCCGTTTTCGACCCAAAAAAGGGTTTCGCGGGAAGAGCTGTCAGGCCTATAGCTTTGCAAATACAGAAAAATGATAAGGACATAAAAGCTGTAGAATTGACAGGGCTACAAAACTGCTATCTCGGATTTTTGCATTTTTTTATTTTAACCCCCAAAAATCAAAAAATAGATTTTTTGGATATAATAGTCGAAAAATCCAAAACGTTTTTTGAATTTCGCAAAAACCGGAATATATGTGATAGTCCTTACCGCCTTCCATCCACATACCAAATTTTAGATTGATACCTCTTTTTTTGGCGAAGTTATAGCGAAAAAACTGTTCAAAATTGATGACATCAAATTTTCAAACTCAATTTTTAGCAATTCTAGACGCCGTATCGCAAAACAAAGACCACCATTAGACTCCCCGTGACGAGTTGCATCGAATCGATACCCATTTTATGCAAAACTATTAACTTTAAAATTTGACCTTTTTTGGCCTGACCTTGACCTGACGTTGACCTGACCTTCACCAGAAAGTAACCTAAGCCGTACCTGATAGTCTCATAACCAACACCATTGAGTTGGAAATGAAAAATTGGCCATAAAACATGCATCACACAACCTTAGTAAAGTTGGGCTCATGTGACCTGACCTGTGACCCCTGGTGACCTGACCTGTGACCTGACCTGGTATTGTCAGTGACCTCTAATAGCAACATATCTACTAGGCAACTGACGCCCTATCGCTGATTCTCGACAAAATGCGTTTTCCTCGGTGTTATAGCGCATTCCCTAGTAGACCCGTGAACGGTGAAACATTTCATCTTTGACCTGACCTGTGACGTCATCGGTGACCCCGAGGTCAATGAAATTTGGTTTCCTTCAATAAATTTGACAGGCCTTTCGAACGCCGTTTGAATTTTGCGGATCCGTCCAGTAGTTTCGGAGATACGAGGGGGGGGGGGGGGCAAAAAATAGCCCCCCCCCCCACCAGGTCGCGTTATAAACAGACCCCACCAGGGCGCGGGTTAAAAACATAAATATCATGTGACTTATATTTAGTAACCAGCTTGGTCAGATAGCTTGAAAAACTTCCTGTCTGTGAGTTGTCTGTGTCGTAAGAGGCTAATTTAACGGGAAAAGGTAAAGGTCGGACGCCGGTTCAAGGTGGAATCGAAACAAAAGAAGGTAAAATTTCGACGAATATGAATACAAATGTGACTTTCAGATGAACATCAAGTTCAGAAGTAAAATGGTGCCATTCATTTTCCTGTAACATGTCAATCATTTCAAACAGACATTCGAAACAAGGATGCCATTTTTGGGAACCTTCGTATATATCATATTGGGAGGAAGAACGTTCCAACTTAATAGCCAAATTTTAAAAAGGGTAGGGAGAGGTGACTTCATGAAATCCTGAACTTCGTGATTCGCAATTTCTCAGAAATCTGAAAATTTGTTGCGCTGTCAACTACCTCTTTCTGTGGGGCTCGCGCAGTCGGTGGAGTGACACTTTGGTAAGCAGCTGCCCCTCCTTCGGTTTATATGGGATAACCTGATGTCTTTTCTCGATTTACTTAACCCTATTAGTGGCAGGGGGGGGGGGGTTGTTTTTATCCACCCCTCAGGTTTTTCGGGAATATCTCCGAAACCGCTGAAGCTACGATGCTGAAATTTTCTGACTTTTCCTAAAACTAAATTGGGCACATTCCCTGAAAATTTCAAGTTCATAACTTTACCAGGGGCGGCTCCAGAGCACTGGGAATTGGGGGGTCCTATTCGTGAAGCGAGTCATTTGGGCGAAGATCACGATGCTGCACCAGTTTTACGAACAGTGAATGAAAGGTATCATGTGATAACATATACAAAGTTATTGTGCATCCTCTTTTGACGTTTTTGCTATAATAGGCGGATCCAGGCGTCCAAAAAGGGGGGTTATTTTTTACCTCCCAACATAGGTGCCCTGACACCGCCTATGCATGACCAATACAATTTTAGTCGTTCTCTCATAAGAAAATTGTAACATAACAAGACCATTGCCACCCTTTTTAGAAACAGTACCAACAAAAACCTTATTTACTATACTTTTTGTGTACCCCCAATCTCAATGATCTGTATCCGCCTATGATTTTTGAAAATGCATATTTTTAGGATCCATGTGAATTCCTGGTTCATTCTCTATCGATCGGCAAAAGTTGCGTTAAGATTGGTTCAGAAACCTGGCCGTGATAAACAGTCTAAAATGTATCTGCAATTTGCCCTTTTTTACCCCCCTCTACCCCCCTATTGACATTTTTTTTTTTTTTTTTTTTTAGAAATGTAGATCTCGTTGAGCCAAATCCAATGCCGTTTGAATTTTGAAAATCGGCCGGTTAGATCTCGAGATATCAAGGGGGGGTCGTAAACAGCCCCCCCCCCCTGCCACTAATATGGGGTAGCCAGGAGCCTGCCACTAATAGGGACTAGAGTACCTTTCTCAACTTACCGAATTGAGAATTAACAAGTGGTGTTTGGTTTGCTAGGTCTATGCCATGTATGTCAGTGGACGACCTTTTTGTCCCGCTTTCCCTGAACCTTTGTAGTGCTGCCAAATGAGAAATATGGTCGAGTTGCTCAACTTCGTGAACCCTAATTTCATGATGAAAAAGTAAAGCAACCATTTTCTGAACAGCCACCCAGGTTCTATTAATACTCTTTCCTAAAAGATATATCCTTTCCATTGCCAGCTATTTACCTTTACGCTGCCCACTGCTATTTTATGCTTAGCCACGGGCAAGGAGGGAAACCATCAATTATGGTCTGAAGACAACATGCGAGATGCGCTGACGGGTGTTGAAAAAGGCTAAATTCAGAAAAGCTTCTCGTTTTTACGGCATCTCAAGACAAACGTTCGTTTATTATCATCGAAAGATAATTCACGAAGTTATGACTCTACTTACGAGGTTAGGAGCAAAAACTTCTTTTTCTTAAATGCAATTTGCGAAAAATCCACAGACGATAATAAAACGAACTAAGAAGAACCATAGCGTGTGCAATGAAATAATCGTGAAGACATGCTTCAACTTTTGCACACCAACGCAAAATGTTGGCTCTGGAGGAAGATTTGTATTTTTTCACGAAGTTATCTTTCCTTACCCTACCTTGCTTAAATCTGAATGATCGATGTATCATAGCCTTGTGATATATTGCCCTTTTTTTAACATGTGGAATTTTCAATTTTCTGCACCAAACGCTTTGAAAAAATATAAAACTTTTACCAGTTTTTGGTTGAAAATGGCGTGATGTCATTTGACGTAATTATACCTCTCGATCACACAAAGTTAACCCGCGCGGGGCTGGGGGTAAATTTCCCCCCCCCTCGCGAATTTTTGCTATATCTCAAAAACGGCGGCGCGTAGCGCCGCCAAACTTTCAGTACCTTTTCTTACATCAATTTGACACGTTCCCTGAAAATTTGAGCGAAATCCTTCGGATTTTTTGTTTTTGAGAAAATGACGTTTTAGTGACGTCATGTTCGCCATTTCCGCCTCAAAAACGGCAAAATTTCAAACGCCGCTAACATCTTCATTTTTAAGGGAATCAAGACGTAACAAAAAAGGTTATACGTGAATCTACTTTGTCTATCAAATTGCTATCATGGTTTTTTTTGAAAAATTTTTGATTTTGGCCCAATTTTTTTTCTAAAAAAACTGACTTTTTTGGGAAAATAATTATAAAATCAAAAATTTTGCGTGTATCGAAATAAACCGGAATATATGTCAGAGAAGTGGTCCATGTGCACCTACATACCAATTTTTAGAAATATCGGTTCAAAAATGTGGGAGTTATTCAAAATTTTATGTCGTCACGGTGAGTCACGACAAACAAATTTTTTGAAAAATGATTTTTTTGGAAGTTCTAGACCTCATACGGAAACAAAAATAGCACCATTCGCTTCGCCCTGAAAAACTGCATCAGATAGACACCTTTTTAGGCCTTAACAACCAACTTCAAAATTTGACCTCACTTGACCTGACCTTGACCTGACCTCGACCTGAAATTCATCCAGATGTGGTCCATATCACCTATTGAATGTGCCTATTGAATTATATGAATAAAATGACCCATAAAACATGTGTCGCACATGCCCTTTTCTATATTT